CAAGAAATGTGGATTGGTGTAAATCAAACACAGCTGTAAGATTTCACCAATTCAGGACAATTGCACTCAGAGCCAAACAGGTGGGACAGTAATAACACACCACTGCACTCTGCCTGACTTGCATTTGAGATTTCAGTCAGGTATATCTGAATGACCATCCTCACACTCAAATACCTTCTCAATACAGTTTTCCCACAAAAGACAACTGAAATTTTAGCATCAAAGACAAAAAGCCAAAAAACTGCAGGATGAGAGGCCATTTTCCATCACTCCTGCTCAAAAACCTGATGTTTGTTCTCAGTCCCAAGCAGCCCACTAGATCGTCCTGTGCTCCAACCACAACCTAATAACTTCAGTCTGTTCCCAAAGCATCTCCAAAACCTCAGGAACCACGAGCTCAGTCCTACGGAAACATTTCCTACATCATTCAGTGTAAAGGCATACTTTTAAGTAAAAACATGAGCCATAACATGAAAATACTAATAATTTTCCCATTATTTAGCAAAAATCCTGATCTGTAACACATCTCAACTCCAGCATTTTGGAGCACGGTAAGCAAAATATCGTTCTTTCTCGAGGTGCTGGTACGTGACCCTCGGTTCCAGCAGATGGAGCTGCAGAAAGGCAACGAGGCCTCAGCACGGAATTCCCAGCACCGTCTATTGGACACCCCCATGTAGCAGCATCCAACAAACCGCTTTGGGACGCTTTGTGAACGTTCTGCTGCACGTTCAGAACTTCCCGACATACCACGCAGATTTGCAAACTCTTTTTCACACAGAAGGTGGTGACGCACTGGAACAGGTTGCCCAAGAAGCTTTTGGATGCCCCATCCCTGAAGGCATCCAAGGCCAAGCTGGATGTAGCTCTGGGCAGCCTGGTCTGCTGGTTGGCGACCTGCACATAGCAGGGGGGTTGAAACTTGATGATCACTGTGGTTCCACAAGTAAAACCTGGCGTGGCCCTCAGGGAAGAACGCGATGCGTACACAGAAGTTCATGCGCTTTGCGGGCAATGCGAGCACACGTGGAAGGGCCGGGCTGCAGGCCGGCAGGGCGAGGCGCGTCGCCCCGCTCCGAAACGCGACGGCAGACAAAGACAGACGCGAACGCAGCTCCTGAAGGACTGCAGCAGAGGTACGGCATTTGCACAGACCTCCCACGCGAGACAAGGGAGGAAAACAAGCACCTGAAAGAAAACGGCGGTTCCGCGCCCTCGGTGGCGCCGCGTGTTTGGGAAGCGCCGCTCGCCCGGCCCTCCGACCCCCGGCCGAGGCGGTCGGCGCTCAGCCACCCGAGCCCGTGCCGCGCCGTGCCGCGCCGCCCCCCGCGGCCCGAGATGAGGCGGCTCCGCGCCCCCCGCCCGCACCTGGCCCGCCCGCTCCTGCCGCTGCCCTCGGGAGGCTCCATGGAGGCGTCGCGCGGAGCTCCGGCGGCTGCAGAAAAGACACCCGCGCTGCCGCCGCCGCTCCCGCTGCTCCCCGGCGCGCGCGGCCGCCGCAGCCACCTGGCATGATGTGAAACGGCGGCGGCCGGGAGCCTCGGCGCATGTTCGGGCCGGGCCGGGCCCCGCCGACGGACCGCCCACACAGGTGAGCGGCTGCGGCGGCGCCGCCCCGAGGACTGGTCGCGAGGCGCCGCGAGCAGGTAGGTGCGGGGCTCCGCTGCGGGACTTGGCCTCTTCTCCCGCGCGGGGTCGTCGCGCGGTGCCGCCTGGCCCGAGCCCAAATTCTCACAGGTCATCGACAATTTTATCAGAAATTTTAACAAAAATTGAGGACAGTAGTGCAGGTAAGCAAAGGCACTGTCAGCCATAAGGGAATCCACCCCGAAGTCGTTTAACTTCAATTCAATGTTAAGACTGTGAAGCAATTTCCAGACTGCAACTAAAAACCACGCGCTAATAGCCAGGACACTCTTGAGAAATTCCAAGAGTGACGTTTTACAATTTGCTCTTGCATCGCTGCTGGCAGCAGGTTGGAATTAGGGCTACTGACTCCCGTTGAGAGGAGCACGGCACAGCTCCTCCCTAGCCCAGGGTTGGATGGACGGCCGCCATGTCAGCGTGCTCCAATGGCCGTGGGTGTGAAGCTGGAGCCTTCCTGCCCGCAGCACAGCAGCTGGACAAAGTGGTGCCAGCCAGCCGTGCACACAGCCCAGGTCAGCATGAACAGAGTAAGGACAACTTCATTTACAGAAGCCTAACGAAAAAAAAATAATGCTAAGACAATTTAAGCTACACATTGATGCGTGATGCTGAAAACAATGCGATCATCTGTTGTATTATAATCTTAGCATTCAGGTTGACAGGGTAACAGTTTGTGGAAGGAAATGAGCAAGGGAAAAAGGGAAAGGTGAACACACACAGAGCAGGGAGTGGCAGGACAAACAGGAGGACGAGGTTGACATAACAAAACAATGGGCGTATTAGAGAACAGTGGATGTGTAAGGTTAAAAAAAGTCTTTGATTAGCTGAACATGGTTCCTGAGGTCTAAAATGTGGGAGAGGAGTCCTGGGTCTCACTCCAGTACACAAGGGCAGCTGGGTGGAGAGAAAATGGAAAGAGTGCATTTAATTAATGAATTCTTTTATTGACAGAAAAGCAAGAAAGCTGTCAGTTTGCAGAGAGTCTTAAAAAGATCTCTTGCTGTTGAGACAGACCTCTGAAATAAAGGTTAGAATTTCAACCCATGTTAATCAGCAAACTAAATCCTCAAGCAAGTGTATCTTCCTCAGAGCAGCATTTTTGGCCGAATTCTTATCTACTTTCAGTTTGAACAGTCCTAGAGTACAACCAGCTCCTTATGTTGAATCTTCCTTACCTGTGGATTATACACAAGTAAAGCAGCACACAATTGTTACTACAAACAGGAGTGCCTCTCAATTTCAGCAGTTACACAATATACTGCCAGGCCCTCTGTCATTTAGAAAACAGGAGGAAGATTAGCATTAAAAAGTGGTTTGTCCAAAGTCATTCAATAATTCAACAAGAGATAATTGGAAACATCTTGACCTCTTAATATCCAAACAGTGCAGCATTTTCCCATCCATCAGCTACAGGATCTTTAAAAGCTAATGCTTTTCATTTTCAATTCAAAAATCCAAGGTCCTAGCAGCTCAAGATCTCTCACTTTTAGTGCAAGAGGTGTTCAGTAACACCCATACAAGTAATTAACATTCCACTCTACTTACCCAAAAAGTAAGTTTCAAACTTGCATCAGGAAGGATCTTCAATTTGGGAAGATTTTTGTCCACCTCAATTAATAACTGCTGACAATCTCCTTTACTTTATATTTTGTGATTTACAATTGCAGAAGACAAATCTTTTTCCATGGTAAACAATGGATGCATAGGAATCCCAACCATCACTCTAATAAACAACAGAATTAAATTCAAGAGCATTCCGTGAAGACTGGAAATGACAACATTTTGAAGATGAGTTACTTTTCTCATTTTACCCTTTCATAATTTAGCTCTGTTTCCTTTATTATCTAAAAATGATATCAATGAAAAATACTGCTCTGTCAATATTGTAAAACATAATGCACAAATTGGAAGATTCAGGCTAAAGAATAACTGAAGCATTCCAACACTGAAGTTATAGTTTTGCTAAAATTTTTCATTCTGAAACATAGAATTTTAACTTTCAATAGCTAAATGAAACTATTGACAAGTTAATGGGGAAACAACAGCAGGCAGCATGGTTCTGACAACTGGATGCTATTTGTGTGAAGAAGTGACATACGGCTGGCATGTCAGGTGGCAAAGGATGGCAAGGAAATGTGTATAACCAAAGAAACCAGGAAGTCCAATACTGAGGTTGCACACAACAGATTATAAGAATTGAGCAGGAGCATTCTTTGTCACATCATGTCTCCAGGCTTAAAGTAGCAGACAGACTCCTAGACAACTTAAAGTCAACTCAGTATATCAGGTCCTTTGTTAAGCACCTTTATTGCCTTTTTATTCTGTCAGTACTTGGCAGTGATAACAGATATTTAACATTAATTCCCAGTACATGCCACCGATACAATTTCTTATTAAGTTACTTTGCATTGGAAATGTAGCTGTCAGGTGGCCAATTCATCTGCTAAACATTAGATAACCTCTTAAATAAAAAGTGCAATGGTTAGCTGTGAATTCAGTGAACTTTTACACGACAGAACCTCAGAAGACAGTAAATCAGACAAAGACAGAAAAGGATATCAAATTTATCAAGATGGACAGCAACTACTTTCAGTTTCATGGTAGAATCATATGGACAGCTCAAAACTTGCAGGGAAGACAAGGTTGAAAGCAGCACAGTCGGAGGCAAAAGTATGTCCAAGATGTGAACTTGGTAGAGGAATTGAAAAGAAAAAAACCTGCCCACAGATGGTTGCAAACGACCTCCAGGCTATGTATGAATCCGATGAAATTAATGAAAATATTACATTGTCTAAACCAACAGATGCATCATTAAAAAGATAACCAGAAAAAAATACATATTTGGGACCACTTAGATGAGTACATTGATATTGATCACATCTGTAACAGAAGTATCAAGACATGAGAGACTGCTGGAACTCCTGAACTGCTGACCAAGCAGTCGACATCGTGACATGAAGATGTGACACACCATATTGAGAAGAATACTCTGGGTCAAACTGAAGATTTACCAAGCCAAGAAAACGTGCTTTATGTTGAGAGCACTTGATATGCTGACATATCTTCACAAAGGAATATTAAGGATGGAACATTTGAGCGTTGCAAACCTTGTGCAGGCAAAAATCCTGAGGCAAACGTAGCATGAATTCTCACTGAAACTGCCATGACTCCTAATGAAGCAAGTGACAAATGGGATTAATATGCACTGCAGCTAACCCCACTGTTGATGCAGCTTGTTTCTTGGAAAATGAACCACCTCCCATCAGACTACAAACAGAGCACCTTCTCACGTTCACGTTACATTTGCCTGTTACTTTCCAGCTCCGCACCCTTTTGAAAAAATAGGCAAACAGTTCACACTTCTGTACTTAAACTTTATTTCTTCATAATTACAGGCTATTGTTAGAATTTTTAAACAAAAGGGAAGTCTATAAATAGAGGCTAATCCCACCTGAACAAGTTTCTTTTTTTAAAAAAAGTTAAAACTTCATAAGTAATGCCATTTAGCTCACAGCAGTGGTTTGTTGGTAGTCTGAGTAAAAGTACTATAGTCAGAGTCAGTAACATGAAATGTAACATCAAATGACTCAAAACTTTTAAATTCCATAAAGGAAAGCAAGAATATATATATAATATATACATAATAATATTGTGTTGGTCCACTGAGTATACATTTTTTAACAAAAGATAAGAAACTATGTAATCCAGTTAAGCATGATTTGCAAGATTAGTGTACACTCATTACAGAGATGTATAGATAAGTTTTAACTATTTAATCCTTGCAAAAATTTGAGTTACCTTTTTTGAGCAGGTGTTCAAATGCTCATTTCCCAGTGCAAAAGAAAAAACATCGCAGTCCGGTTCCCCATTTTCCTGATAAACTGAAAACTATCAAACTCTTTCAACAGCAGCATTGGCAGATAACAGGAAGAGGTTAAGTGTATTGAAGCATGGCTGAGTCCAACTCCTCCTCCCAGTGCTGTGTGTTGAAACTTTTCCATTTCCTCAACAGAAACACCACAAGTTAAAAGTGCAAGAAAGAAATACAAATCTCTTGATGCTTATGCTGCTGCCATCCATTTTTCTTAGATAGGGCAAAAGATTATTTTTGGAATTATTTTAATTAAACCAATTCTCCAGAATGGAGTTCTTTCAAAGTGAACAATAAGTTACTTTCATTAAGTTATTTTCATTAAAATCATATCAATCCCACTCAGTGACCATTAAAAAAAAAATAAATCAGTTTAAGGTGCAACTATCTGTTGGCATTCAATAAATTACACATACAGGAAAAAAGCAACCTTTAAAAAAATAATGAAAAAAATAATCAGACGTTTTCTTTCTATTCTCGATCTCATTTCATTTTCAACTTACTATCTTGCCAGTGAACGGGCAAGCAATCTTGCCAATTACTTATCTGCATATTTCACAAGCAAAACTGGCTCAAAGAGCAGCGGGGCCTTGTTATCTGACAGTCATCTTGGCCAACAGCAAATGCACACAAATCTTCCATTTAATTGCTTTATAAAACAAAGTAACTGGTCTTAAAACCTACGACCATGCAAGAAAAGCATTAAAGGTTTCTGTAAGACACACTCTTTTTGACTTGGATTCCATGAAGACTGTAACAGAATCTTCAATGAAGAGGAAAAAAAAAAAAAAAAAAAAAAAAAAAAAATCAATATGCATCCATATAAAATAAAGCACTCCACAACTCTGGCATTACTAAAATCTTTCTAGAAGAGATTTCAAATGACTAACTGCTTGATGGGAGACAATCAGCCATGGCAGAATAATTGCTGTGTTCACTTTGTGTTCAATTACCAACTGCTGACGGATTACAGTCAAACTAACGTCTCATTTTCTGCATTTTCAAACTGATTTGCTTACATCTGGGAAATGTTCCTTATTTTCCTGAAAACTTGAGAGAAACTGAATGCTAGAATTAAGTTATTCAAACAATAAAAATAACCAAAAGGACTGAATTTAGCAGGAACACACCACTTTCAAAAGTTTAAATCCTTTCTTAATTTTTGTGTATATATGTAATCTTCTGATTAACATTTAAATAGGTTAGGTATTCAGGAAAAGGGACAAAACAGTTGACATATGACAACATCTTATTCTAAACTTCATGCTTCTGATATTTCAGATTTACTGAGTGCAATAGCCAGTTCCAAGTCTTCTTGCTCTTGCTGTTTTAGTCTTGCCAATCTTTCTTTCTCTTCTCTCTCGCTTTCCCTCTTAGCCCATTCAATCATGTCTTCCTCAGTAGAATACTGCATTTTTAAAAGACAAAATAATCAGATTAATAATGCAATAACTAATCCTGTTCTTGGTTTAAGTGAGTGTCAGTAAAACATTTGACATACTACAGTTTTTGAATATTACTTGCTTTCTATTGTCAGTAAACTATTACTATTAGCTTAGTTCAAGGTTTAACTGTTAAGAACTGCACTAAAGCCACCCTATTGCTCTGTTTTTCATTTAATACACTGTATTTCAAATTCAGTATTAAGTTTTGATAAAAGGTTGCAGGAGCAGCAAGTGCTATACTTTAAAATTGAACTATTTTTGAATAACAAACCAGTCTATAAAAATTCTGAATGAATGGTGAGAACATACAGCAAGTACACACATATCCAGCATGACAGGACGTCCTAATTAATTGTACTTTCATTTGAGATGCCTTTTCCAGATGACAGTGACTATGAAAATTAGCTGTAGAATGACTTTAATTGTGCAGATGAAACACACTTGGGTAAAAAGCAGCAGAATATTGAGGTAACAGTTAGAAGCCTATGATAATACAGAGAAAGATAAGTGTGATAAGTGGAGAAGTGGGGAAGAAAAAGAACAGATCCTTTCAGTGTACTTTGATATGAACAGAATATGAACTGAACTGCTGTGATACAATGACTACGTGAGAAAACATGGTATTATTTTCAATACAAAAGATAATACCAGAATTTGTTTCTACTCAGCATGCAGAAATGCTAAGAGGTAGTTGAAGCCCTTGTGTTCATGAACGTCCCGGTGGTAAGTCTTACAGGGTTACCACAACGTACTCCAGTTAGTTCCTGCTTTGAGCTAGTATTTAAGAGTAGAAAAGATTGTGTTTTCTCCATAGTTCACTTGTTACTCTTTCAGTAGTAACAGCTAGAAAGGAATGCTTTTTCCTTTATAAAAATAATTAACTTTTGCTTCCTCCTCCACATTTCACATTCTGTCCTCCAAACTAGCTTCTCAGACCATCTAACCAGTAAAAGCAATTACTGTCATGCTAAAAAGACACATCAGCCAGCACAAGTCAGTTCTGAAAAACTGTCAACCCTCCATTTGCTTCAATCAAGCAAATGGTTTATTACCCCCCACCAGAAAAAGAAGAAAAAAAGCAGTATGATCACGTTACTGTGAATGCAAATTGCATTTCACAGATATCAAGATGGAAAGTGAAATGATGCCTTCCAAAATTCCTCTTTGCAAAAGCTCAAAAAGAAAATAAAATAAAAATTACATATATAGGCATGCACAAACCTTTAGATTTGCTTCTACTGCTTGGACACCACGACTTCTATGAAATGGATTCTGGTTACAAAGAGACACTACTTTTCACTGCATCATACATAAATCTAGAATTTACTAGCCATTCCAAACTCACCACATTACATTTCATTAACATACACTATTATGAAGCTGTTCATCACTATTTCAGTCATATATTTCACTATTATAACTAAACAGTTCAGTGACAGGAAGATTAAAATCATGTCTTTTGTTGTGTTTTTAATTAGATAATTAAGCCTATTATACCTATAGACATTTCACATCTGCTGTGTGCTTTGATAAAATGAATAATACCTAGAACAAATGTATGAAATGTCCTACTTCTAAAAGGAGGCCTCCATGAAAAAAGTGTTACAAACTCACAAAAGCAATGCAACATAAACATTAACTTCATCATTTATTGCATTGTTCTATTTTAGGGCAGCCTCAGCTGTAAACTAAATGTAACTATTGTTTAGTGGAAGGGAGATCCCACGTACAAAAGGGAGACGTGTTAATATTTTAAATTAGACTGAAGATGTCAGTGTGAACGATTCAAAGCTGACAGTATACTGAAACAAATGTAAAAAGTGTTTACTCACAGTACTGAAGTTTGCAAAATTGTTGGGGTCAGCCTCTTTACCGATGCTGGTGGGAGCAAATGGATCACAGAATAGATCTGCTTCTTGTTCTTTGGGAATTTCTGGGGTGGGAAAAGGCTGAAATGGATCGCTCGGTTTAAAGGAATCTGAAGAGTCTATTTGATTGATAGGTCTTTTCCCTTAGATTAAAATGAATTTAAAATGAATTTAAGATAGCAGGTAATAACACGCCAAAAATAGTATTAATAAAAAAGAAAAACAAATTCAAAAGCTATTTGGAATGCAACCTCCTCTTGATAAATTAGTGGAGTTATCATGACTTCAGAGGAAGGGTTGCCAGTTTAAAAAATGAGGGCATGGCCCAATATTTCTTAAAGTGTAATCAGATGAAAAGGAACACATGTATGTTAATGATTCAAGAGCACAATTATGTCCTGATGTAGCAATATTTCGGGAAGAGAATTCCTAAGTCTTTAGTCCCTATTCTATCAACACAGTAATTTCTTCTGCTTATCAATTATCCATGATGAGAAAAGCCTTACTGGAATTATTATTTGTCTGGATCAAAGTAACAGAATTTGATTTAGAGAACAGAAATGCAAGTCTTCTAAAACAGCAAGGAAAAGCATCCTCTCGCTGTGATTCTGTGCTAACACACACCATTTCTCAGAAAAACGAAGACAGTCAAGCCATATAACAAACACTGTAACAAACAGGCTTAACTATTTTGTTCATCCTTGCCTAAGTAGCTGCAGATGAAATAGAAGCAGACGTGAGCCCACACCTGTTCTTTTTTCAGCTTATTTTTCAGCTTAACCCCAGTCAGCTCTCAGCACCTCTGAGGACATTAATCCAAATCCTCCCAAGAACAGTTGAGCTAAATTTCATCCCACCATTCTCTCCATATGTTATTATTTACAGAAAAGGTTTCATTGCAGTTTCTTGAATTCACCCAGCAAATTCAGTAAGTGGTTTGACCACTGCAGTGGTCGTATGCTTCTGTTCTTCACAGACCAAAAGAGATTCTAATTCAGCAATGACTTCGAGGCTTCTAGGAATGCTCCCCTGGGGAATACATGATTTATTTAGACAATTCTCAGATAACCTTCCCATGATAGTCTTCCCTCACTGATCATGTTCTATCACTGGCAAACAAGGCATGGTTTTTATTTTCCTGAATACTGTGGGAGAAGCAGCTTCAAATGACATCTAGAAAAAGAATCCTTTTACAGAGGAAGGACTAATAATTGTAAGAATATGAAGTATATGCCAAACCCACCCAAAAATCATGAAATGGTAGCACTCATCAGTGCCTGGGAAGGCAATGGATATCAGAAGCAAGCAAGTAGCCCTTCCACGCACTTTCCATTATCAGGAAGTTTTAAAAGGACAGGCACTTCCTCAAAAAAGCATTCCTTTGTTTTGAATGAGACCAAGAGAGTCATTAAGTACAAATACACTTCAATATCTCAATTTGTGATTCATGATGGGCAAAGAATTTATTGGGAATGGTTATCATGATAACCACAGGAAGAGGGTACTTTTTTTCTAGCCATCCATTAATAGCAGTACTGTTTTTCTGCCACTAGGTGCTTGCATTCTAAAAATGAATTTGTTCACCACCTTGTAGCCACTCCTAAATAATGAATCCAAAATCCCACACACACTCCTTTAAGGGCCTCCATAGAAGGAAACACTATCAAACATTCAAATTAACACCACTTGTCACGTCAACTGCTTTTATGTTATGTTATTTGCAATGAAACAGGCTACTTGCAAGGCATGAAATAGATCTCCTCACTTCAGCATTACAATTAAGCACTTGAGTTTAAACTTTTAGTATTACTTTTTCTGTGTTGTCCTCTTTCGAGGGGAAAAGATGAATACTTACTCAAGTTTCATGCTATAGTTTTCCCAACACTTTAAAATTCAACCATAGAGTGTAGTAGTGAAAGTGATGCAGTAGAAGTTTTTAAAGAGAATGAAACGAAGGATGAAAAGTTACATGAATACGAGTAATGTAATGTATTTTCCAATCTATGGAAAACAAAAAAGATTGAAAGTACAGATTCTGTTGTAACATGGACTTCATGCAACCAGAAGAAGGTTTGGTTAACTTTGATGACAATCATAATATTTTCTGGAGAAGATTGATGTGTATTCATGGAGCAAACCAGAGGATTCAGCTATGGCTGAACAGAGAACAGCACAGGAAACCTGTGTTTATTGCTATTGCATTGGCTAGGTTCACACTACAGACCTCTGGCAAGGCAACCTGGAAAAATTTAATCTGAACATCTGAGGCTGTCACCTTAACTCTAGCTTAATTTATTTTACTCCAGCCACATACACACTGAGTTGTTTTAATATTTATTTAAAGGCAGCATTAAAACTGGCAGTTTTGCAATAGGTAGAACACAATGGCTTCTCACCTCAAACAATACTCACAGCCTATTTCAACAGCAACTGTTTAATTTGTAGCCATTTGTGTTCTTGCAGATACCCATATTAACTCTATATTGTCTCATTTTTAAAAAAGAAACAAAAAACAAAACTCAGAAAAAACAGCAAGCTATGCTGCCACAAATGTCAAGCAAAATTTAACACTGAGGCAAAAAAAAAACCACATCAGGAACAGACTTGTTTTACATCTTCTCACTCACTCGCTGTTAGTCCAGTATACTTCACCATCCCCTTGTAATTACTGCCCTACCACCAATGTTAAATAAGCTGATCAGCATCTCACATCAGCTCTTACCAGGAGGTGGTGGACAGGGCCTTGTGGGAGTTCCAGTTTTAGGGGGCAGGGCAGGAGGGACATCCTCATTTTTGGCTGGTGGCTCTTCAAATGAGTTTTTAGTTATGACCACATTTTTGATGGAGCCTGATGTGGAAGAGCCAAAGGGATCCTCATTGTTGGCCTTTGAGAAAGAAAGAAAACAGCAACATACACGCTTTCAGTGCAATGTCACCAAAACTCTCCATCTTTAGAAATGAAAGTTCGTTTTTAAACTCATAATCCAGGAAGAATAGAAGCAAACATTGATGAAAATTACAGGAAAAAAATCAGGAACAGTCAGTGTGTACAGCAGTGAGAAGTTGAGTGCAGCTATATACATTCAAAGCCATTTGAAAAACAGAGAAAACACAAAGCTTTGTGTTTTTCACAATGGAATTGCAAGACAATTTACTGTAAAAAGCCTCTGTCAAGAAAGTTAACCATTGTAAATTTTAATTATTGGCAAAACTAACAATAAAAAAACCATAAGAAATAACAATACAGTAAGTCACTGCAGAGTTTCATGCATTTTCTGAGTGATACTAATTTCACATTACCTTTGACAGTGTGCTGAAGTCAGCAAAGCCACTTCCAAAGGATTCATTTCCGAACAGAGAGGCAAAGGGGTCTGTAGCTAAGTACACAAAAATTAAGCAAACAGAAATGAAATATGAAACACTGAAAGATCCTGCAACAAAAAAAGCAGCTGTTACATATACTGAAGCTTACTGAAGACTACTTCCATGTGAAATACATAATTAGGTGGGCACTTTTGCTATTTGAGTTTTTACAAAAAAAACTAAATATTAACAATTGATTAACAGTAATAATTCTCCTGAAAAGGTTCTGTTGATGTATCTGTGTGCAGACAGGTATTTTTTATGTATTTTGTGTACAGCCACAAATGACTATGAACACAAATGAGCTCACTTCCAACAGTAAGCTCACATCTGGAATACAGTGTCTTCAAACCCTGTATGAACTCAACCTGTAATAACAACAGTGTTCTTCAACTCTTGCATGCCACAAAGCATGTAAGAACTCTTCTTACTTTACAACAGAACAGCATACTACATTTACCAATAATCCAATAATATCAATTATCTCTTCTGCCTCCAAAAACAGTGTTTTGGGTTTTGTTTTTTGTTTTTTTTTTTTACTGCTTACTGTACAATATCACAAAGATTCACGCCTAGGATGAATGCCTCCTGGTGCAACTTGGCAATAGAGTGGATTAGACTCCTCCCAAAAACATCTCTACCCTCAGATAAGAGAAGGACACAGCAATACAAACAGAAACCTTGATCAAACAGTTATTTTATCTTAGATTCTCTTACATAGTACATAACTACCTTGTATTTTACTTTGAAAGCAACATGAAATCTCCTAAAAGCAACCCTAATGGGAAGTAGTAGAAACCACTCAACTAGCCCAAACACTTAGATCAGGGTATTTGGGCAGTTTTAGGTGAAGAGGAACATTTTTGCAAAATCAGTCTTTGGTGATACAGGCTGAGGATGACGAGTTCTTTGCTTATTTTAAATAAAAACACTCTCCACAAACTTGTTCCTTATGTTAAATGTTAATTTGGAAAAGTCCTTAAAATGCCCCCATTACAAATTCAGTCAAGACTAGGAACAAAAACAAGAAAAAGAAAGTAAATTCCATGTGCTCAATCTCCTTTTACCTAAATCATCTGATGTAGTAACAGTTGTTCCACCAGGGGCAAAAGGATCATTTTTCTTCAGAATCTCTGTCTAAAATAAAAGAATTACTTTAGTAGGAAATTTGTTTTTCAGCTTGATTAATTCACATTCTAAGAATACAATCACAATTTAAGTTTAGAAGGTTTAAGATAAGGTTGGTCCAGCATCTTTACACCAGGCAAAGTTTAAAAAAAAAAAAAAAAAAAAAAAAAAAGGACATTCTTTGTGAAGATATTGCTACACCAACAGCAAAGGTGCAGCAAAGCATTTCTGACAAATGCATAACTTTAGAAATGCACACAAGGATCAGCTGCTACAGACTGTGCATCCCATGCCTTCACTTCTCCTATTGTCAGTCCATGAAGTATTAGAATATTGTTATTTGAAGAAGGATGGTGTGCAGAGTAAGTACTGAAGATTGTAGAAAACCAGTTTTTAAGGCTGGAGGTCTGGTAATATGACCTCAACATCTGTGTAACACGCATATCATACAGAAGGAAAAGAACACCCCTGTTAGCAGAGTAATTCCTCACTATCTCATTTTTGCAGGTTCACCTCTGGCACACTCCACAGCCACTTAACTTGCTTCCTACATGCATTAATAGTCCACTTGTATTTTTAATACATAAATGCAGATTTTATACACGCACACAAAACTAGAACTGAGGTATGATTAGCACCACTGAAAGAGGATACTGCAAAAAGACAACGACAAACTTAAGACATAATTTTAGCTTCTCAGAATAAGTGTCTATCAGCCCTCAATATTACTTTGTTTTCATTAGAGTTACATCCTACAAGACTTAGTGTGCAGCTCTACCTTATTGTAGGCTGGTGATTAATCAGTAACTGCTCAGTTATAATATGGACAGCTAGAAGTTAGGCCTAAGTATATTTGAAAGAATATGCCATTCAGTAACAATTTCCACATCATGACTGGGTTCCAGTGACAAATTTAAAAAGATGATGAAAAACAAACACCACATCTGTATAACAGCTTGGGTTTTTAGAAGAACTTGCTATCACAGCAGACTTCAAATAAGATAAAACATACTTATTGATCCTATAAGCTTCAGAGGGAAAAAAGTGAAGTCTCAACAGAACCTGAGGAGATTAATGAACTTGAAAGAAAACAAAGATTAAGTTCTACCAGCTATTAATAGAGCTTAACTCAGTCCCAAAACATTCTGACTTGTGGAGCTGCACACTGAAATATTTTTAAAATGTTTTTATTTCCATTTTCTGTGTGACTATTTCTAGAATGCAACAGAAAGAGACAAGAGAGCCACATATTTCTGAATATCCACATTTTAAGGTAGGTCCAAATGCACCAGATAGTTTTGTCCAAATTATATATAGTAGTAAAAAATATGTTATCAGCTTACTGTGCTGTTATTATTGTTGCTTGCTGCACTAAATGGATCAGTGCCTGCAGTCACAAAAGGATCAGTGGAGGACTGTTTGAAAAAACAGTCAGCTGCAAAAGGATCTGAGCCTTTGAAGGGATCACCACCAAAGGGATCTAAAAACAAATAAACATCTCATTAACAATTCTACTTGCTTTATTTAACTTAGCATCTTAAAAATGAAAATTTATATTGCTTCTTTCATTCTGCAGGAAGGTGACACATTTAAGACAGATTTGATGCTTCAAAAATCCTTGGTCTGTGAATAATCTGAATTCCATGGTTCAACCACTAGACAAACCAACATATTCTGCACACAACAAAAACTATATTGTGCTACTAGTTCAGCAGAACCAGGTAAAGACATTCTTTAACTCAGCCCCCTTACAAAGAAGCATTTTTATAACAACTAACATTTTTCAGAACTCTCATACTTTCTTCTCCTTCACTCCCCAAACATAACTGATGTTTCCTTATTTGACACTGGGTGCACTATGCTGTAGCCTTCCTGCTGCCCATTTTCTTTTTGCCACTGGTAACGCTGTTCAGGACTGAGCAAGTAATGCAATGGCATTGCTTAAACAGCCAGCCTCAACGATTTCCCCATCTTTTTCAATATTTATGCTACAGAAAGATGCTGAATTAAGAGCCTTTAAAAGTACAGTCCAACTTCTCTGCAAACAAAACATCCTTTGAGTTTGGGGCTTTCCATTTACCACCTCCATATATTTAAATCACCACTAAGAATACTTTCAAAAGCAAGAGAGAAGTTCCTAGGGAACAGGCTTCTCTGAAAAGGTTTAACACAAGTGGGCAGCTGCTACTGCTATATATCCATCCTACAGTGGCTTTTTAAGTCATTACCATCTTTTTCACACTGTAAGTGGTGATATTTGGGGGGG